GCCCTGCACAGGCCCAGCCCCAAGAGTCACCCCTGTGCCCCAGAGGATCAGCCAAACCCTCCTGGAGCTCTGGCAGCCTTGGGGCTGTGCCCACTGCCCTGGGGAGCCTGGGCAGTGCCCAACCAGCCTCTGGGGGAAGAACCTTTTGCTGAGATCCAACCTGAGCCTGCCCTGACACAGCTCCAGCCATTCCCTGGGGTCCTGTCACGGTCAAGACTGTATCTCTGCACAGATTCAGGGGTTGAAATGGATCTTGCAAGTCCTTAGCATTGAATGATATCACCTGTAACACTGTAGGAGAAGCTTTAAAAGCAGATTTGCACAGAAAACAATAAATCATGTGCTGGAATGGCCGGCAGCCAACGTTACTCAAATACCATCTCCAGTGTGGCTATTGCAGCTGAATGGGGCATTCCCCAGAGGTGTGTTTGTGTTTGGGAAGAGATGCTGCTGCAGCGACACCCTAATCACAGCCGGGCCCCCAGCCAGGGCCTGGCACCCGGCCCGGGGAGAGCTGAGCCCTGCGGGGCCAGCAGGGCTGAGCTGGAGCTTTGCCACGCTGCTCCAGAGGGGAGGGATAAATAGCACTGAACTGGAATTGCTCCTTCTCCAAGAGCTCATCGAGTGCGTGAGGTAGGAACTGAACTATGCATAACTTGGAAGCCTCGTGCTTTAGCTCTACTTGTATTTTGCTGAGTGCCTCCAGGTACACAAGCAGAGGTAAACTGTGCCTCCAGCAGCTCCTGCCAAGGAGGCTGGAGGAAGGTGCTCTGTGATTTTATGCAAAGAAAAACTCTGTGTGTCTTCAAAACAGCCCCTCTTTGGGAATCCCTTACACTGTAAATATGTACTTTCATGCACACCAAAATTTAAATTTTGCTTTGAATATTCTTAAATGTGCCATAGGAAATCAAACTTCTCATGTCTGTGATTTGGGGAGAACAAATAGACACAGTTGCCTGGCTAGCAGTAAGCCCTTCTTCTTTTCCAAACCCAGCCATCCCCAGAAGACCATCATTCCTATGGCAGCAGCAGCACTCAGCCATTATTACAACATTATTTGGGTTAATTACTTTACTTCCTTTTACAAACTGTCTGCATTCTGTTCTGCTGGTCTTCCAAATAGGCGAGTCCTACCAATACATTTATTTTCTGACTTGGTATTTGTATCTAGAGAAACTTCTGCATACAGAATAACCCTCCCCACTCAGAAATGTTAATCCCATAGATCCTCAAGCATCTTATAGTGATTTTTCCACTTCTTCCATGGCCTAAGCTGCCCTCCCTGTGCAGTTATAAATTTTCATTGCCAGAACACCACTTAACCAAAAACCCCAAGTCATCTGCAGGGTCCTGTGTTTCCCAGATTTCCCAGGGACGGACTTGGCTGTGTGAAGGTCAGATGTGCTCCCCAAGGTTTATTCCACAGAGTTCTTCATGTGCTAAGGTCAGGCTTCACTGCACAGACATTTATGCATTAATTGATCCGACTGAGGTCAGACCTCAGTGCAGAAACCCCTTGTGCTGAAGTCTGGCTGAGTTGCTTTGCCTTAGGGAAGCTGCCAGGCTGAACATTACTACAGGAACTTGACATCAGCTTTGAAATCTCCTTTTGAGGTCAAAAGACTCCTGACGCTAACGGCAGGTCAGCCTAGAGAAGTATTTCTAATTTGTTCAACAGCTACAGCAAAAAAAACCTCTCTGGTTCCACTGAAAATGATCTTGGTTATTAAAACCCCAAAATGCCTTAAAATGCTCAAATCACTTCACTAAAGATTTTCCCACAATAGAAAAAGCAATTTTCTTTTCAGCTGTATTTTTACCTGTGTATTAGCTTCCTTTGTGCTAGGAAACCCAAAATCTACAGTGCTACAGTACCTACTATTTTTCTCACCAAAAAGATCGTTAAAAGCACACCATGAGAACGCTGTGCTGAACATGCAACTGAGAATCTCTTTGTGACCACAGCTCTCCATTTCTTTTCTGTGTCATTGTTCTCTGCTGTGAGTACAGCCCAGCTACAAGTTTGGCAATAACCTACTCCACTAGCCATGGAAAATGACTCTTTGGAATCATGGAATCATAGAATCAGTGGGGTTGGAAAAGACCTCCAAGACCCAGCGCTCTTGTCCTACTGCTGGTTCCTGGGAGAAGAGCCCGACCTCCACCTGGCTACAACCTCCTGGAAGGGAGTTGTAGAGGACAAAAAGACATTCTGGCAGCTTTTGGGTAGAAAAATATTTTTTCCACAGGGCAAAAAATGAAAACAACAAAAAAAGCCCCCAAAAAACAACAAAAACAACAACAAAAAAACCCAAAACCAACCAAACAAAAACCAAAAACAAACAAACAAACAAACAAACAAACAAAAACAAAACCCATGGGCTTTGGGCAGGAGCATTGATCTTCTGGAAAGCAGAAAGGCTCTGCAGAGGTATCTGGACAGGCTGGATCCATGGGCCAAGGCCAACAGTGTGAAGTTCAACAAGGCCAAGTGCCAGGCCCTACATTTGGGTCACAACAAGCCCCTGCAGCTCCAGGTTGGGACAGAGCAGCTGGAAAGTGCCCGCTGGGAAAGGCCCTGGGGGTGCTGATGCCAGGGGCTGGACATGAGCCCAGGGGAGCCCAGGGGGGCAAGAGGCCAATGGCCCCTGGGCTGTGCCAGCCATGGTGTGGCAGCAGGGCCAGGGCAGGGACTGTCCCTGTGCTGGCCCTGCTGAGGCCCCTCCAGGGCTGTGTCCAGTTCTGGGCCCTCATGGAAGAGAGACCTGAGGGGCTGGAGCGTGTGCAGGGAAGGGAACGGAGCTGGGAAGGGGCTGGAGCAGCAGGAGCAGCTGAGGGAGCTGGGGGGGGCTCAGCCTGGAGAAAAGGAGGCTCAGGGGGGACCTTCTGGCTCTGTAACCCCCTGACAGGAGGGGGGAGCCGGGGGGGGTCGGGCTCTGCTCCCAGGGAACAAGGGACAGGAGGAGAGGGAACGGCCTCCAGCTGGGCCAGGGGAGGGTCAGGTTGGACAGCAGGAGGAATTTCTCCCTGGAAAGGGTGGTCAGGCCTTGGTAGGGGCTGCCCAGGGAGGTGTTGGAGTCCCCATCCCTGGAGGTGTCCAAGGAAGGCCTGGCCATGGCACTGAGTGCTCTGGGCTGGGGAACAAGGTGGGGGTGGTCACAGGTTGGACTTGATGATTTTGGAGGTCTTTTCCAACCTTAATGATTCTGTGACCCTGTAAGTTGATCACTTCATTTCTGTCTCTCTTTACAGGGGTGGAGCAGCAAGCACGTGGTGGGGTGTACATATGAGCACCATCTCTTACCAGCCTCCTCCTGGACCCCCAAAATTCCCCTTCCCACCTCCCCAGGTGCTGGATGAGGCCATCACAGAACACCAACTGACCTGCCAAGTGCGTGGGGGTTGGGTTGGGAATCATCCATACTCATAGAACCTGCACAAGACAGGCCAGGAGGGGTGAGCTCAGAGAGGGCACCTGCTGGGCAAAGGGCCACTGCTCTGCAGATATGCAAGAATGCAAAATAACTGTAGAGCTGGTGTACAAATCATAGAATCATGGAATGTTTTGGGTTGGAAGGGACCTTAAAGATCATCTCATTCACCCCCTGCCATGGGCAGGGACACCTTCCACTAGCCCAGGTTGCTCTAAACCCCATCCAACCTGGCCTTGGACACTTCCAGGGATGGGGCAACCACAGCTTCTCTGGGCAACCTGTGCCAGGGCCTCACCACCCTCACAGTCAAGAATTTCTTCCAAATATCCCATCTAACCCTGCCTTCTGGAAGTTTGAAGCCATTCCCACTTGTCCTGTCACTACAGTTCCTAATGAAGAGCCCCTCACTCTCTTCCCTGTAGCCCCTTCAATACCAGAAAGGCTCTCCACACAGTCTAATGAAGTCTCTACACAGTCTTCTTTTCTCCAGGCTGAATAGTCCCAACTTTCTCAGCCCGAAATAAAGCTTTCAATAAAGAAAGCATGCAAAAAATAATCTTAAAGGACAACAACATTAAGGTTGTAAAGCAGAGAAATGTTACACTGGCATGGGGAACTTATAATTCTGCAAGAAAACACAGGATTTCCCTTGCCATGGGCTGGTGTGAGTACTGTAGGAATGCCAGTTAGTGATCTAGAAGGACTCGGTATAGAAAATCCCATGGCTGAGGACATGCAAATTCATCTACAATGAAATCTGCGAGTTCCAGCTTGGGAAAAGGTCCTCAGGAATCTAAAGAAAAAAAAACAAACCAGAAGAAGCAGGATCCTCTCCACTGCCCAGGCTGCCCTGGCAAGGCTCCAGTGTGGTGATGGTTAAACGTCCAAGAGAGTTGGGGCAGCCACAACCTCACACAGATCCCCAGGGAAGGGGCTGGGAAAGTGCAGGCATCAGTGTTTTCCTGCTTCTCTGTCAAGCACTGGAAGAAGATGCATCAGTAAAATCATCACCATATAGAAACATAGAATAATGGACTCATTAAGGTTGGAAAAGGCCTTCAAGATCATCAAATCCACCCTGTGCCCTATCCCCACCCTGTCCTCCAGCCCAGGGCACTGAGTGCCATGTCCAGTCACTCCTTGAACACCTCCAGGGATGGGGACTCCACCATCTCCCTGGGCAGCTCCTTCCAGTGCTTGACAACAATGATTGTTTTCAGAGAAACCCCTATGCATCCACAACATGTATTGCTGTCATTTGTACCAGTATGGAAAATGTCACAGTTTAAATGAAAAATCTGTTAAACTGCCTTGAACACCAGTGTCTCAACTACAAATATTTTTATGTGTATATATATAAAATATTTTATATATAATATTTATATATGTGCTGACATATATATATATTTTTATATATGGTCATCCTCTGCCTTTCTGTCTCATTGACTTCTGGGCTTCACTGTTCTCATTTCACACCAGGAGTTTTCAAGAGCTCTTCTAGAACCCTTTCCCAAGGGCTGGTAGGAATCTGTATCCATCTTTTCCCAAAAATACCACCCACTTAACACAAGATGGCACCGCTGACCATCTAAGGGGCTGAACACAAGGCCAGGTACACTGGACAGGTTTGAAATCTGTTTATTCTACTCATTTTGTGACTCCTGCAAAACCTCCTCTCGGTGCTTCTCCTCCCCATTCCACACTGCTCTTTGCCACAGACACAATCTGTTTCCTTGCTTCGTGTTCCATTAGACACTTGGTCAAAACAAGCTAAAATCTTCCCCAAACCTAATAATCCTGGCAGTAGCCTGGTTAATAAAAGTGAAAAAAAGGAGTCAGGATAGATTAAAGAATTACTCAGCTTAGTACTGCATCTCTACTTATTTTTAAGTGCAAGCAGCTTACAAGCTTACAAGCTTTGCCTCAGTGGGAGGTGAACAATGCTCCACAAACCATCATGTGAATTGAAATTCAAATCTCTGTGAAGCCTGTGAGTGAGCTGCCAGCTTGGGTTGGACACTCAGCATCCACCACCCCAATGGCAACCAGCCCTTCCTGATCCCTCACATCAAACTCCTCTGATGGGACTGTATTTCAGTCACTACCAATCTTGACCCAATTACTAAAGGGGGAACAAAAATAGGTTGACTTGATATTAGCATTTCTCTAGAGTCCCCGGGAAGCAGAAGGACTGGGGGAAGGGTGAATTCCTTCCCTATACAACTGAGAATTACATCCTTTCTCTGGAATGTTTAAGCTAATGTGGAGAATTTAACAGATATTAATGTTCTTGCTGTGGAGTCATACACACCAGTCTACAGCTTGAGATGAATTACTTGTGAATCTTGTTCTATTTCCATAGCTCTCTCTTGAATCAAGGCAAGTTTTATGGCACTTTATGGGTTTTTTTTTAAGTAGATTTCCCAGATTATTGTCCTTCTGTGAAGTCCATGGCATTCCTTCAGCTGTTTTATACCTAGACAGGATCGAAATCTCTAGACCCCGCTCAAAGTTACATTCACATGGCTCCTCATTTCTTGAGGATACAGAAGCAAACCTTGCCCTGTATGTATTCACCAGGATCACATTTTCCAGTACCTTCTCCTCCCCTTAATGCTTCAAAGTACTTTGGCAAAGAATCCAAACCCACAGGCCAGACTTCTGTGGTTCTCACAAAATACAACTGACCAACCAACGGGCTTTAATGGTTTCAGTCTCACCATCAGCTACAGAATAACTCCTTGGGTTTCAGCAGAGGTAATTCAGACATTGTCCAGCTTTATCACTTCAGTGTTACTGAAAAAAAAACATCCAGAAATCATCATTCAGGGCTGTTACTGAGTATTTATAGAAAGGTTCCTCCTACAGTCATGGCCAGAGTCAGAGAATCATCACAGAATCCCAGAATGGTTTGTGTTGGAAGGGACCTCAAAGATCATCTCATTCCACCCCCTGCCATGGGCAGGGACACCTTCCACCAGCCCAGGTTGCTCCAAGCCCTGTCCAACCTGGCCTTGGACACTTCCAGGGATCCAGGGGCAGCCACAGCTTCTCTGGGTAACCTGTGCCAGGGCCTCCCCACCCTCAAATTAGGAAGAATTTCCTCCTAACAGCCAATCTAAATCTTACCTCAGGAAAAAGGATTATGTACACAGTAATTTGCTTATATCTCTTGTGCTTTTTATGTATTTATCTCTTGTATATTTGATGTATAAGCAGAGCATTGTGTACATACAACCAACCATGAGAAGTCTTGGGTGCTACCATGGAGGCTCAGCAGTTCCTCAAAGCTCACACTGATAATTCAACTTTCACACAGAACTTAATTTCTTTATACAGATGAAAATCCATTCAAAATCATACAAATAGTTGTGCAACATAAAATCAATAGTCCATTTTGCTAATGAACTTTTCCTGGTAGTATCAGTGCTCCCAGTTTTATAGGATAGAGTAAATATTTCCCGAGCTGACACAGCACAGCCCTGCCCACTGAGGTATCTTGGGCATCTTTCACACTACAGGCCCTTGGATTCCAGTATATCTGAAGCACCACAGAAATCCTCCTATCCTGATGCCTGAACTCCAGAGCTGAAGTGTTTCCAGTACAGGCACACAGGGACTGAGCAGAGAGCCCTTGGGCAGTGCCCAGCCTGCCCCTCTCTCTGAACATGCCCTCGGGGTTGTTGTGCACTGTGCTCTTCATGGTAAATCCCAGCCCCAGGAAAGTCACCGGAGGATCATTATGGATTTTTTGGACATGAGCAAAGTTACCTTAAATCAGAGCTACAACCAAGCTTGCCTTGCTCTAGCCAGCCTTTGCCAAAAGGAAAGCAAAATCCTGCCTTTGCTTTCCAGCCTTGCCTCCTCTTCCATGGATACAAGATGCCACAGCTCCCTGGGGAACGTACAGCTCTTCTGTCACTGTGACAACACAGAATATGCAGGGGCTCTGAGTATGACCTCCTCAAACCTCAGTGCACAGGACAGAGTACTAATCAGTGTGTTAGTTTTAATTGCTTGATTTTTGTTTCCTTAAGAGAAAAAATCATCCTGTTAGATGAAATTCTCATTTTCACCAATAAAATTCCCCTCACTGAATTTTTCTGCAGTTATTCTTAGCATTTCTTATACTTCTAAATTTTCCCTTTCACTCATGTCTTATCCCTATTTTTTTGCTAAGCTTTATGTTTGGGAGGTGACAGGAAAGATGGAGAGAGATTATTTACAAGAGCTCGTAGTGACAAGAAAAGGGCAAATGGCTTCCCACTGCCAGAGGGCAGGGATAATGGGATATTGGGAAGAAATTCCTCCCTGTGAGGGTGGTGAGGCCCTCACAGAGAAGAATTGCCCAGAGAAGCTGTGGCTGCCCTTTGATCCCTGGAAGTGTCCAAGGCCAGGTTGGACAGGGCTTGGAGCAACCTGGGCTAGTGGAAGGTGTCCCCACCCATGGCAGGGGATTGGGAAAAGATCATCTTTGAGGTCCCTTCCAACCCAAACCATTCTGTGATGATTCTGCAATGATGTTTTTTAACAGATGAATTGCTTCACCAGATGATATATTGCCTTTACCTGTTTTCTGTGTTTCCATGTATTTACACACTTCACCTTCCTCACTCTCCCATCTCAGACTTGGTCTTCTTGTATTTTTAGATACAGGCTGAGAGATATTCAGTATCAATTGATTTATTTAATTTTCTATTACATGTATCAGAGTTTTGATATTTTGGCTGTCTCCCAGCAAGGAAGCCTGAAATCCTCATTTTCAGTATCTCTCACATACTGGTACTAAAGATTATCAAGCATCTACTGTTGTGGGAGAACATGCTCTGAGTATAAAGGTTCATGGTTAAAACACCAGCAAAGCACCTCTGAAGAAGTGCATTTGGCCTCAAAATTAGGCTGAATCTCTTTTGTAATGAATACTTTTGGGATGCTTTCACCAGGACAGGGACCCAAAGCAAGTCAAAAGAATTTTCCTATTAAAAGAAATTCAGGTGTAACTCCAAAGTGCAAATTTATCCAGAATTCATTCTCTTTGATTCCATTTGGTTCAGCTTTTCTACTTGCAGCAATAACTCCTCGTTCACAGGCTCCAGTAGGAATGACCTGTTCCTTGGCAGGGGAAGCTGTTATGTTTCCATCACAATACATAAGCTTCACTTCAAGAGGGTGAGCAGGCAATGGGCCAAAAGCAGAATACCTCTGCTTTGCAGTCATTTCTGAGCCAAGATATTATTTTTACTTTTCAAAAGCATGAGTGGTCAGAAAGCACTGCTTGGAAATTGAAACCATCCTCCATGCACCTCTGCTTCTCTCAAATGAAGCTTGCAAAGCATTGTGGATTACATGACTCATGCAGCGTGGGGACTGCCTTTTCCCCATCAATAATGCTCTCAGTTTATATTTCTCATTTGCACCTCAGTGCTTTTCCTGTCTTTATCACAGAAGTGAAGAGCCAAGCCTGTGGATTCCTGCAAAGAGCCCTAATCCATGTGGGTGAGGAGCTCACTGGACGGTGCATCTTCATCGCTCCTGGACATCTGGTCATGATCTGTCTACCCTCCTGAAGGGTCCTGTGCAATCCCGCTGGAAACTTGTGAGCAGCACTTGGAGTTTGTTAAACAGCCCCAGTACATCTTCCCTCACAGCACCCCGTGCCACACTTTGATTTGCCTGACAGTTATACAGCCACCCAGGGCTCGCTTTAATCTCAGTAGCAGCCTAAAGTATTTTTCAAGCTGGAGCGTTTCTGTTTTATGACTGTCCAAATGCTGCAATGTTCTGCTGGTATTACTGTAAAAATCCAGGGGAAAAAAGCTTAAGCTGAATTAATTCTGTGCAGATTGTGATTCTCCATGGGTCAACTCAATTCTTAGTGCTGACTCAATCAAATTTGGCCCCCTCTGCCTGCAGATAGTGGGTTATGGCCCCAGTTTCAAGTCCTGGGGGTTGATCTCTCAGGTATTATACAAGGAGGTATTTTGCCTGGGGGGCACCACATCTCACTCTGCTTTTGAAACTCTCTGGTTTTAAAACACTGGAAGTACCTCATGCTCATGCCAGTTGAACCAATCTTGCCATCCATGGTCAGCTGGGACCCCACAGTGACTGGGGCTGGTTGGAAATTAAAGTTTGGTAAATCCCACAGCACTTTGCAGTGTATTTCATATCCACAAACAATAATGCCATGACCTACCTCCCTTAGCATTCCAACCTAGACACTGAAGTTGAATGGAAATGAAGTAAAACCAGTCTGGAGATAAGAGCTGTGCAGGAGAGGAACTGGGATCCCTCCCCAGATGCTTTGGCCTCTGGCAGTCTCTCCTCTGCTCTCACTCTCACAGCCACTGGCACATCTCTTAGACCATGAACCTTATAATTCAATTCACAATAGAGCGTTTCTTTTTATTTCTGCAGAGTGCCTTGTGTAACCCTCATGCCCTACATCACAGACTCACAGAATATGCTGAGCTGGAAGGACCCACAAGGATCAAGTCCAACTCCTGGCCCTGCACAGGACACTCCAACAACCCACCCTGTCCCTGAGAGCGTTGTCTGAACACTCCTTGAGCTCTGTCAGGTTTGGGGCCATGACCACTGCCCTGGGGAGCCTGTTCAGTGCCTAACCACCCTCTGGGGGAAGAACTGGTGTGCTCTCACTGTACAGTTTTATTGCTTCTACTCCCTCTGTCCTCAGCTGTCCCTTACAGGCGCTGCCACCCAGTGTCACCAAGCTGCTCCAGACAGTTGAGGGAAGACACCAGCAGGTGAGAGCCTACAGTTATTTACCTGTCACACAGTGCACAGCACACTACAACAAATGACTCAAGGCTCCACTTGAAACAGATCAGGATTAAGAGCAAAAATATATATTCACAGGCCCATGGATTTTGTTCAAGCTATGAAGCTAAAAGTCTCAATGTATATAAAACATGTTTTGCATGCAAAGGACTTGTAGTTTGGTGAGGGAAAAGAAAAGGTGACTGAAGTCCTAAAGAAGCCTTGATTTTGTACCACGTAAATGCTGAGGTAGTTCAACGTTTTTCTAACTTCCTGCATAAAATCTCACTGATTTAAATTCCTGGCATACCTCAGTTCCCTGTATTTTAAAAGGTTATCTTCTATTTGGAAGTAGGTTTCAAACATCTAAGCAGCCCAACTACCTGTAAAAGCACAAATTAAGACACAATGTGTTGTCCCACCCTCAAGAGGAAGGAATGAGGCTTTACACACAGGTACCTGCACTGGAGTATTTATGATATAACAAGAGAAAACAGCTATGACCAAATTGATTGATACAGGTACAAAGAAAGGGATGAAACACAATTCCAACTACATGGATATTCCAGCAGCTGCCTCAGAAATGGCAGAGGGCTGAACACTCTTCCCCACTGTATCAACAGCAGACAATGAGAATCCCAGACGGGGTCAGACTGGAAGGGACCACAGTGGCTCATCTGGTCCCACCTCCCTGCCCAGCAGGGCCATCCCACAGCACATGGCACAGGATTGTGTCCACACAGCTCTGCAAGATCTCCAGTCAGGAGACTCCACACCCTCTCTGCTCTCTCTCCAGGGCTGGGTCACTGCCCAGCAAAGAAGTTCTTCCTCCTGTCCAGCTGCAACTTCCCGGGCATCAGTTCCTGCCCGTTCCTCTTGGGCCATTGCTGGGCCCCCCGAGCAGAGCCTGCTCCAGCCTCTGCCCCCTCCCTGCAGCCCCTGACACCCCCTGGGGAGGGCCCCTCTCAGGCTCTGCTCTGGAGGCTGAACAGCCCCAGCTCCCTCAGCCTTTGCTGCTCCCAGAGCTGCTCCAGCCCTTGGGCATCTCCGCAGCCTGCGCTGGCCCCGCTGCAGGAGCTCCCTGGCCCTGCTGTGCTGAGGAGCCCGAGCTGGGCCCAGCCCTGCAGATGTGCCTGCCCAGGGCTGGCCAGAGGGGCAGGATCCCCTCCCTGCCCTGCTCCAAGGCTCTTCCTGATGCCCCCAGGATCCCATTGGCCTCCCTGGCCCCCAGGACACACGGCTGGGCAGGGACAGCTGGTTGTCCCCCAGGACCCCCAGGGCCTTCTCCTCTCCAGCAGGTCCCCCCCAGCCTGTGCTGGTGCCGTGGTTGTTCCTCTCCAGGTGCAGGACCCTGCATTTGCCTTTGTTGAATTTCAGCCAATTCCTCTCTGCCCATTTCTCCAACATCTTGAGGTCCTCCTGAAGGGGCTCACAGCTCTCTGGGGATTGGCCACTCCTCCCAGCTTTTTTAAGCATCAGTGCAGATGACCCAGGACATGAGAAAAAAACAGGAGGAACCATAAAAGGGTAAGAGGACACAGGCAAGAAAAAACTATATTCTCTCCCGATTATTACACCTTTATTAAAAAGGTGTAATACTCTGGTACAGAAGTCCCAGATTGAAATCTATACTCACTACTACTTTCACTTCATGCCAGCTTTCTGTTGTTCCAAGGTGCCATATATAAAACTGGGAATAAACAAGCTTGGGAGTGGAAAAATTCCTGTCAATCCATCATTAACCCTCAGAGATAGTCAGTTCTCCAATGACAACACGCTGTGCCGTCCTATGCAGCACATGAAGGGAAACAGAAAGCCTGTTAGCATTCAGTCAACATTTGTGTGAGTAGTTTTGTATCTGAGAAGGGGCTTTTGGATTGTTCTTTTTGACTGTTTTTCTGATTAAACTTACTTTTTTTTAAGTAAACATCTCGCTGTGATACAACAGCTATGGTAGGAGCTAATAATACATGAAGGCTTTGGCAGGAGGGATGAATATTTGAAAGGGGAAAAGCTGGGAATTCTTACCAGCACTGCCATTCATTTAGTGTCAAACACTAGGCTTTGCTCCATTTAAAACTGATCTGTATTT